CAAGCAACTTCTGAAGAAGAATCAAAAAGCATAGAATCTTATAATATTATTTTGCTGGTAGTTTCAACAGATGGAGCCAACAAAGTTTGTGAGGGAAATATTTTTAGTGCAATATAATATTTAATGAGAATATTTTGCTATGACTGCTTAAATATTCAGGTGAGCGATACAGGCCCTCTTGGGCCTCTTGTTGAATTTGATATACCGTTAGGTGTGGCAGCCATATTGGAATGACCTTAAATTAGGACAAATCTGGGTCGTAGCAGAGACGTATATAACATAATATATATATATATACGTCTCTGGTTGTGGGTTTCCCAGGTGGGCCGAACCTAGAGACAAATTCCAAATATGTTGATTGAATGATTGATTTATGGGGCTTTATGTCCTTGTTCCAGAAATTACCAAGCCTAGGACAAGTAGCATGCATTCGTCACACAGGGTTCTCAATTAACCAGTTAAAGAAACGTGTTATGCCCAAGGGTCTAAGTCGCTATATAGGCGGAAGCTGACCCCCGATGGCTATCGGATCCTGGTAGCATACATATGTCAAGTACTATATCTCCGTACATGTATTTGTCTGTTCATGTCCAGCAATTGTATATATACTACATACAAAAAAAGTGTATATCGTTAGAAGGTGGGGATCTCAACTGTGTTCGGTTTTTAAAACAGCTATATGGGCCAAACCCACGGGACGGTGTGTCAGCTAGATCCCGGGATCGATTATTGACCAAGGGACTACATGTAATTATATATATAAGTCTCCAGCGGTAGGGTCGCACACTGGAGCCAATTTTAATCCTAGTAGAATGTGTGTGTAACAGGAAAGAGAATAATGTGCTTCCACCGGGGATCGAACCCGTGACCCCAGACATCCTAGTCGGACGATCTACCATGCCATTGTGCTAGCTAAAGGGAAATTCCCTCTAGCGCGAAACTTGAAGGCGACCCTAATCATATGTACAGTCTAAGCTAAAGTCTAAGCTAAAGTCCCCAAGGGCGTATTAGACCATGTAAGAGGACAGTCCTAGTATGACATCAGTATTCATTTCTTTATACTCGGCAATTGCCTTAAAGAGCAAAGTGTGGGGATCTGAAGTTATATAATCATAACCTCTTTTTGGCCCCGCCCTCAACTTTGAAGAACCATCTCCTCCAGTTGTACAATTTTGAATCCCCACATCCTAGAAATAAGGTTGCTATCTATCTCATACAGTTAGTTCCAGAGGAGAAGTCGTTTGAAGCAATATATAGCCAAATGGCCTCTTTTTGGCCCCACCTTCATCCCAGGCATCATTATCTCCATAATTTACCCCTATCAACTATAAAAAAATGCTTCCAACCAAATATCCCTGATATTCATATTATTGGTGCAGAAGATATGTGCCCCCCCCCCCCCCCCCCCATTTTTCTCAAAAATATTCTTCTTTCCATTTTATTTGACATGTTTACATATACGTATGGTCTGGTAATATTTGATTAAATATACAAACAGATACCTAGTTATTTGTCAATGTTTTTTTCTCTCTTGAATTTTGGATCTGCTATGTAACATTCAAGGGATTTCCATAATTATCACGAAGTTAATTAATGTGTTTCGAAAGATGAAATAATCACACCAATTGTTATGATTCCTATAAAGACGCCAGCCCCGGACCTCTGTAGACCGACTATTGATGTCTCTAAATCAATCACTTTTACATAAAGTAGCTATCACCAATGAGCTGTCATGTCATCAAAATTATATCAAAATTTTATATCTAATACGAAACAACTTATTAGAGACCGAAATTCCACGTTTTTTTTATAACTCAGAGCCTCTTAAATGAGGACTTGTGGAACCCTCACCGCAATTGGTTTAACCCTTTCACCCCTATGTAACTTTAGTTAACCCTTCCATGCTTTGATCTGGATGAGTCCATTATGGTCTACAATGGTGAAAGGGTTAATGAAATGCTTGGCCTTTTCAGGTTTGTATGTTGGCGCTGTGATATGTTTTTGTTGTTGTTGTCTTTCTTTTCTAGCTGAATGTACTCAATCCAGAATACTAAAATCCAGAGAGCTGGTTAGGTCGGGGCTGTCCCAATCACCTGCTCTCTGGATTGGAACCTGTGATAGATGGTTTTAAATCATTTTAAATTTATTACGCATTATAACTGTTTACTGTGTAACTATATACTAGAACGATGTAATTGTGATATATGACACTATAATCATACAATTGACCTGTACAACGTTACAACCAAAACACAACAAATCATGTTTACGACACTTTTATTCAAGCAAAGCATAAACGATTATATTTGCATTAAGAATGTATTTGCAATAGGTTTTAATTTGTCAATGCTTATAACAATATTCTATGGCAAGCCAACTTAACATTAATAACACAGAGCTCTCTAAACATTTTCTTCATGTTAGTAAGTATGGATTATGAGAAAATCTTTTTACACAACCAATACATTTTTTCTATGTGACGTTTCGATGACTTGTACGATATGTACACTGCCACCTTCATAAGACAAATAACCAATGAAGCGTATGCACACAAAGGTGTAAAATGTGTACGAGTTGTCAAAAAAATCGATGTCGATTTCGGCTATGCTGGAAACGTATGTACAATAGTTGTTATATACGTACCGAAATGACTCAATTCAGCTACGCTTTGTTAACACTTGGTCGTAGATGTGCGAGAGTCTTTGAGCCCCCTCGTCTCGATTTAGAACTGGCCTACTGCGGCGTTTCCAGATGGCTTCCTTTATCTGCCGCTTGAACAGATTGCTCTCTTTGTCCAAAACTTTGGAGTTATCCGAGTCAATCACATGGTTTTCTGTGTGGCATGGTCTGTGATTGCCGATTGTCTGAAGAAGGTGACAGTGTACATATCGTACTAGTCATCGAAATGTCACATAGAAAATGTTATTGGTTGTGTAAAAAGAACTTCTCATAATAACCTGAGCGATCGCAAAAGTATCACAGATATCCCTTGGAATTGAATATGTATTTACATGTAAATGAAATAAAAATATTGTTAAATGTAATTTACATATATTTTGAATTATATAGAGATATATTTAATATAAATTAAAGATATCTTTAAAATGATATACCTATTTCAGGTAGAAGAATGATTGTTTATAAGATATAGCCTTAAGTGTATCGAACATTTCTTTAGGTATTGGATATTATGTTGGCCTCCCATAAACATGATTAGTCGGCCTGCAATGATATTTGTTTTTTCAGAAAAATATTTAAGGCTATATGTTACCTTTCCGGTATCAACTCGAGTTCTTTGTTACAGTTATCGCCCTTAGAATCGTTTTTCACGTACCATTAGCTAATCATAATTCAAAAACACCTTTACGACGTTAACGCGTGGATTTTTGTTTACACAATGTACCTTCCAGAATGCGTAATCATTTAATCTAGTCATAACTAACAATCATCATAGGATCCACATTTTTGTGAGTGACGAACTCTTGTCAAATGGAGGTGTAACAGTAAGTCAGATGCAAGGTAGCATATATCATTAATGATACCGGCACAAATAATTGATTAAATATTAACATTGAACGAACTGAACAATAGTCTAGACTTATAACAGTTCTCTAGAACAAGTAGATATTTTATCTATTAAATTATTATGCATGCCATCTTAATAGAGTGGGAAATACATCACTACTTAATATTTTGGCATATGTGCAAAAAAAAAAAAAAAATCTAATTTGCATTAAAACATGAAAAAAACCTTCCCACACCATAATTTCCCTGTTGAGTATTGATTTTAGGCTTTTATTGATTTAAAGGAACTGAAATGGAACTGCTTCCAATGGCCCTGAAAATGGTCACAATAAAATACTTTGTTGTTGCAAAACGGATATTGTATATTAAAAAAATTGAATTTTATATTTTATATTCCTACACGGATAAAAAAAACTTCCCGCACCATATTCTTTTAATTGATATCGATTTTGAGATGTAACTCGTGGTAAATTGGGTGTCTTCCCATTTATCCAACTTCTGAAAAAAGCTATTCCCATTTATCCAACTTTATGTTTTATGCCCTGTGGGTATGTTTGTTTAGTAGTATATTTTAATCATTAGGTGAAATAACCAAGACAAATTGTTCCATGGATAGAGGGAAAAGTATCATAGAGTGGATAAATTTATTTAATTTTAATTCATTTTGAAAGGTGAAAGTATGTATAAAATATTCATGAGAAATATGAACAGTGTTAAAGAAGCACCCAAGCCTTTTTCTACTAATTTATTCATAAATTTTGAATACTACTCACTAAGTATCCCAAGCTAGTTTTTAGCTTATAAGCACTGACCCACTGACAAAATTCATTCTTCAAGTTTGACCATGGCGAACGCACAAGTAAGAGTAGACTACATTCGACATGCTAGAGGCCACTACTTAGCTGTAAACGGCTACAGATATGTGATTAAGACCAGAAAACAGGGTAGAGATGCAGAACTAGCCTACTGGAAGTGCGCCGAGAAAGATTGCCCAGGCACAGCCAACACCAGAGACAACATGGTAACCAGATTTCCTAGAGACCACAACCACCCGACAACTCGTGCTGACATAGATGCCAAGAAATTTCTAGCAACACTCAGAGAAAAGGCAGCCAAAACTCTGGAACCACTACCCGCATTGTACGACAGCGAGATCATCAAATTCAGAAACAGAGAATGGGACGATCACACACACCAGGTCGTTGAACAGATACCAACTTTCGTCAGTACCAAATCAGCTATGTACCGAGAACGCAACAGTGAACTACCACCACTACCAACCACACGTGATGCCATTAATCTCCTGGGAGAATGGCAAGAGACTACTACAGGAGCACAATTCCTACTAGCAGATGATGGTGACCACAACAAGATCCTGGTATTTGGTACTACAGACAACCTCCGCCATCTAAGTAACGCTGACATGGAACTTTTTACGCCAGTCCTGTACTTTTCACCCAGCTGTACACACTGCATGCACTCATAGACGACGAGATGTACCCACTAATATTCGCCTTCCTACCTGACAAATGCCAGATCACCTACCAACGCCTATTCGAGATCGTTAAGACAGCAGCAGCAAACAACAACACACCACTCAATCCAACCACTATATTCCTCGACTTCGAGTCTTCAGCCCGTAACGCAGCAGAGACAGTCTTTCCACAAGCGTCGATCAAAGGTTGTCTATTCCACTACTGCAAACGCATATGGAGAAAGGTACAGAAACTTGGACTAGCAGACCAGTACACCAACGACAACCTACTCAACCTACATATAAGACGAGCTTCAGCATTGCCACTAGTCCCCATCAACCAAGTAGATGATGTATGGTTCCACGCAATTGAAGACTACGAGACCGATGACGCAAAGATCACCAAGTTCAACGACTACGTTACTGAGCAATGGATCGGGATGGAGACAGCAAAATGGAACCACTACTCAACAGTTGGACCCAGAACAACAAACCATTTAGAAGGATGGCACCACAAACTCAACAACCAACTTCACAGAGCACACCCAAACCTCTACGTCATCATCGAAAAACTCAAGCACACTCAAGCAGCAAATGAGATCCGACTTATCCAGTATGCAGCTGGTGGCACTAGAAAGACAAGAAAGCTGAAATACAGAATCCTAGACTCCAGACTTCAGCGACAGAAACAACGACTCATTCAAGGGGAAGTTGACATCTACCAGTATACAGACACAGTGTCACGCCTGCTGAAACTTCAATGAACTGATATGACTCTATAATATTCGATTGATATAGTGCTTTGCTTAATTCAAATATTTTAAATATGAAATTTACTATACATTGTAACTTTTCTATCATGTAAAATGATTCATATTCCTATCATCTTATTTCTAGTGCTTTATATCAATTTATGAAATAAATATTATTTTGTATCATTTTGTATATTTAATAATTAATATGTCTGTTAATAATATATATGTCTGATATTATTTGAATAAATATATTGAAAATAGAAATTAGTCTTATTGTGAAAGCATATATCATAACTACAGAATCAATAAAAAAACCCACACAAATAAAAACAAAATGAAGCATTCAAATCAACTTAATAGAAATAACTTTGAATATAGATACACATTTCCAAAAGGACTTAATTTCTGTATCATATTTTTAACCCAACACTTGACCCAAGCTCCAATTAGTGTTTGTTGTTTTAACAATATACCCTATTCCCACTTATCCAACCCAAACTTTTTACCTGTAGTACCTATTTTTCAAAAAGTTGGATAAATGGGAATGAACCGTAAATTGAGCCTGAAACTCTCAGACAGATTAACACTTACGCAAAATCAACACACAAATTATCATCAAGGGGATTGAAAGCTACATGAATTTTCGTATGAAATTTTAGGCAGAGTCTATATAGTATAGATCTACTGATTATGGATTATTTAGGAAGTATCATACCGTATTTATATATCTTTATTGAGTTTCAATACTGTGCACCAAAACTTTAACTGGTAGATGTTGGCATAAAATGTTCATAATAAGGAAAAATATGTATTTATTTTACTCTATTAATTATCTCTGAATGAATATTTGACCCCTCGGGAACCTCCATGCAAATATCGGCATCCTTATACAAATACTGAAGGTTGTACATGTATTTACAAACTTCAACGCTTGCACCAACACTTTAAAATTATTTATTATTTAACTTGGAGATTTTGGTGAAAATGAGAGAAGAAAAAAAATGATTTTAGAATTTTTCCTATTTTAGTTTCACTACGTCTGCGTTGGATTCCTATGTAACCTTCGTGTCAAATATCAGCATCAATGTACCTTCGTGTCAAATATCAGCATCAATGTACCAATACCGGAGGTTATTTTAGTTAATCAGCACCGACGTGCACGCCGACACCGGGTTAAACATACAGCGAAACAATACACTTCAGTAAGTGATACCATTATACAATGACAATTTTTTTTATCACACACAACAAAAAATACTTTGTAATTTATTTACATTTACACTACTATTTCCTCTAGAAGCATTGCCATAAGAAATTGCATTCATAGGGCTATGAACGCAATTTGATCAGCGTCAATTTGAAGCTTCTCCTCTCGCCTCGAATAACACGAGACAACTGTTGGGAGCAAACAATTTGATGACTTTAGGCAGTTCCAGGAATCTCTTTTGCACTGACGACATAAACACTTTATATTAGAAAAAATCAGAGAATGTCTGTATCTAGGTAAATAATACTCTACTTAAAATTTAGAATGAATAAATTAGGATTGAACGACATTTTTTTCAATGTTCATGCAGGTATGAAATTGAAAAAATGCCGTTCAATCCTTATTCAATATTCCATTTAAACAATTACCAAAGGTATCACATTTGCTTACTGGAATGGATACATATCAATAATCAACACATTGAAACGATGTTAAAACTTTATCATATCATACAGGAAAACAATCCATACAAAAATAAAACAATGGAAAAAGTCGCTGAAAAATCTCATTGGAAAACAATACACTACAGTAATCGATACATGAATACTGTAAGAATACATATTTTAGCGGATGCAAATTTTAGCATATTTTTATATTTTGACAGATTAACACGACAATTAAAATCATATATGCAATAGAAAGCTATGTCTATACGACAAGTACGTTAATTACACATTTTTAATTGTATTTTCTTTCTTAATAACGTTGGCTATATGTTTTCATTGTTTAGCTATTTTAAATCTTATTAAATGCTGTCATCTTGCTTAACTTCTTTCTTCTTTTGTCGTTTACTATCCGCGATAGTTGCAGTGCTCGTACTGTCTGTTGCCCCACCTGATAAAAAATATGACGATGTCGGTCGAACCTCGGATTCGTCGAAGACCATGTATTCCTCGAACTTTTTGACCTGGACCCTACGAGTTCGAGTAAACGGGGTTTTACTGTATATACAAAAACCTTAATTAGCGCAATCACAAATAAGCGCAATATTTAAAGAGCTAAAACCGCTAAAATTAGAATACCACTAAAATATGTACATTTACCGTATATCCAGTAAACTGTATTTAACCTTATATCTAAATTTACGGATATTAATAGGATATAACACATTAGTCTTGGTTATTTTACAGTAACTGTAAATGACATAAATTTCATAAACCCACAAATTTGCAGGCGTGCTTGAGACGATTGGTTCGCAAAGATTTTTTCGCAATAATATATGCACAATGTTAGGATTTATGCTTGGTGCACACATATTTTTCGTGACCTGATGTCTCCGTAACATTGGCGAGAACATTAATATGCGTTTCGTTCAACGTGTATGCCTTAATCTGTATGTCAAATTGATTATTGACATGATTGAATTCGCGCAATCAATTCCTTAAACGAAATTTTGCAATGATAAAAATCACGTATAACATAAGTAATATAGAGTATATATGACCAGTCATGACGATCCCAATGATGTCATGATAAAAATGAAAATTGAAAAGTCGAAAAAATATTTTGCGAAAAGCCACCGCGAAGCTGTTAATATTCGTGCGTTGCTTATATTCTCGACATTCACAGAAACAGCATTTCTACAACAAACTATGTCCCGCATGAATAAATGACTTTGCAGTATCTTATAATCTGCTCCATATTATTACAAAAATAAGTATATTTTGAAGTATGTCATAAAATATAAGTATAAAATAAAAACAATAATCTCTTAACACTATAGACCATAATGTTCTCATCCATATCAATGCATGGAAGAGTCTACTTTAGTTACATAGGGGTGAAAGGGTTAAGGATCTCCGTGCCACTGCTAAAGCCGTTTACAAGGCATTGCAAACCGTTTTTTCTGCATGACTTTAGTTTCGATAAATCACTTCTGAAAGAAACACCATACCTTTCGGGACTTTGATGAAAAGTAATAAAGATAAAATAACACTAAACATCATCATCAACAGTGTTTTGAGAGTAAAAAAAAATCCCCAGAAAAAACTGGATTTGGGCCCTGGAATTCAGATTCGTATACTATCGCTCTAACCGACAAAGCTACACGGTCAATGAACGTATCCTGGGTCAACTGGGCTACAGTAACATCCAAAACAAAATAAAGGGGAGGTTACTATATTTACGAAAAGTCACATTGCACTGGGACAAGGATCCTTAAAATGCAATATGTATAAAATATGACATATATATATATATATAGGATAGTACACCCGTTTTCATTTCATTTGAGATTTATGAAACGAGTGTAAGATTTTTTTAGAAAATTCGTGACGAGTTTCATAAATTTCTTATAGCTATGAAATGAAAACGAGTGTAAGATCCTTTTTATCACATAATCAACATTTGTAGCATTTATTCGTGTTAAACGACAATTTTCATGCAACCTAGAAATGTAAAAAGACGCCATTTTGACTCCAGTGCGTAAGTCTGTGACGTCATGTACTTGTCCTAGGCGTGACGTGACAATTGAAACAATTGAAACTTGCAACCAGTCACAGGGCTGATAGGTCATATTATATGGGTTAATATGCAAACAAAATATGACATGGGTATATTCACTGGATAACTCAGTATATTATGTGATGAAATGAAACATCCACTACTTTTAAATGAAAAAAAATCGGCAAAAAATAACAATGTTCAATTTAGAAAGTCTTTACAATGTATGTTCCTGGTCTTATTTTTTCTGTACTATATTGTCAATTATAGTTTAAAAAGAACAGTACAGGAATGTACTTTCATATGCTTGGTGTGACTTGCGCTTTATACAGATGGCGTGAATTACATTAGCTACGTATACTTATACAGATTATCGCTTCTTAAGCAATATTGTATATTGTTAGCATTTTTTTTAATTGACGGTATCGAACGCTCCGAAGCTGCACTTGAAAGTGTCGTTTGAAATGAAAATTAACGCCTCTCGTGTTGCCATGCCATGATCGATTACCATATTTGTTTCAGATATTGAACATCTTTTTTTGCAATAATTAAGAATCGTAATGATAAATATCAACTTGTGTGTGATCATGGTCACATCCATCCTCGATTTCCAGGGGTTACGATCACCTACGCTCTCTAGAGAGCGAAAGTGAGCGTAACCCCTGGATGTCGAGGATGGGTCAACCCCTGGATATCGAGGATGGGTCAACCCCTGGATGTCGAGTATGGGTCAACCCCTGGATGTCGAGGATGGGTCAACCCCAGGATATCGAGGATGGGTCAACCCCTGGATATCGAGTATGGGTCAACCCCTGGATGTCGAGGATGGGTCAACCCCTGGATATCAATGATGGGTCAACCCCTGGATGTCTAGGATGGGTCAACCCCTGGATGTTGAGGATGGGTCAACCCCTGGATGTCGAGGATGGGTCAATCCCTGGATATCGAGGATAGGTCAACCCCTGGATGTCGAGTATGGGTCAACCCCTGGGTGTCGAGGAGGGGTCAATCCCTGGATATCGAGGATAGGTCAACCCCTGGATGTCGAGTATGGGTCAACCCCTGGATGTCGGGGATGGGTCAACCCCTTGATATCGAGGATAGGTCAACCCCTGGATGTCGAGGACGGGTCAACCCCTGTATATCGAGGATGGGTCAACCCCCGGATGTCGAGGATGGGACAACCCCTGTATATCGAAGATGGGTCAACCCCTGGATATAGAGTATGGGTCAACCCCTGGATGTCAAGGATGGGTCAACCCCTGGATATCAAGGATGGGTCAACCCCTGGATGTCTGGGATGGGTCAACCCCTGGATATCGAGGATGGGTCAACCCCTGGATGTCGAGGATGGGTCAACCCCTGTATATCGAAGATGGGTCAACCCCTGGATATCGAGGATAGGTCAACCCCTGGATGTCGAGGATGGGTCAACCCCTGGATGTCGAGGATGGGTCAACCCCTGTATATCGAAGATGGGTCAACCCCTGGATATCGAGGATGGGTCAACCCCTGGATATCGAGGATGGGTCACCTCAAAACAAAGGATCACGAACTGACGCTCAATAATGGAAACGTCCATTGCAACATGCATTATTTACATATCTTTGTTTTGTTTGTGTATAATATTATCAGTGAAATAAGACATCATAACTTTATGTCTTGTGCCACTTACACCAACTTTTGTATCTGCCAAAGTACTACTACAATAAAACCGCAACTTTCAAAATCAAGCGCGGATTTCTCAATAGAAATCTTCCGCTCTGAATACATTCTTTAAGAATGAAAGGTTGGCGATTTTGCTTTAATGAAAGTGAACTGTTTGATATCATATTTTCACAGTACTAGTTCCAAAGTCTAACAATATCGCTAAACATCATAAGTTAAATGATATATAATATACGTAATACAAAGTCAGGAAATAAAAGCCACTCACCAACACTAAGTTTGTTTCACAACCTAATGAAACCTTACAAAGCTGTGGTACCCTCACAGCGCAAATAAAAATTAAATACAACATGGATCAAAACCAAACCCCCCCCCCCCCAAAAAAAAAAAAAAAACAGAACAAAACATGAAATGACGCATAATGATCAACAATGTAAATGAAGTAAGGTAGCGGCCGCATTGACATATAATATGATCTTACCTTTCTGTATTACATGGATATAAGGGACAGATTGACGTCATTTCCTGTGATACCATGTAACGCCTACATGCTAAAGTGTTCACACATATAATGAATTAATATACACAGGTATATACTATGTTTTTATGATATATAACGACACCAGATTAAAGTCAGCGATACCTTAGTTTCATTTCTCACAGAGGTAGGATCCATAGACAATAGAATCCGACATTTCCCTGTGGTCGTAACTATTTCCTTTTTATGAATGTAATCGAGAGTGATGTACAACTCTCAATGTTGTATGCTTAACGAAGTGATATCTGCCATGGAAATGCATGTACAATCAATTTTTCCAGAACTTTTTTAATCGCTCCAGTAGGGACACTTCGCGCATGCATAGTGTTCCTGACATCGCCCGGAAAGTCCAGGAGCCTCCAACTGAGTACAGTTGTTCTCAATGCACTGGAACAACATCTTCGTTCGCTGCTTTTGACCAACGATTGGTGGATTGGCAGGCACCGAGTCTGAGAAAAATAAAACTACTTGTTGAAATTTTGATGTTTTTTTTAATGATTTTTAAACCAACGAACGTGTTTATGACGTCACAGTACCCACATCGGGACACTTGAAGGAAAAAGTTGCAAGAAATTTGTATGCTGTGCAAAAAAAGTATTTTTAAATTGATAATATTGATTTAAAGATGTTTATATACCAATAAACATTATATGAACTTTATTTACTGCCACTCATGGTTACAATCACAGTTTTAGTTTGTATATAATGACGAAAATGTAACGTTTTAAATTTATGCGCAACGCGACGTTATTAATTTTCATTTTTTGTATGTGATTTTTCACAATCCTATTATTTCAAAATTATTGGTAGATTTGTAACATATATAATTGTTCTTTGCTTAAATCAACTAAATACCTTGGTCTGCCATGTCATTTCGCCTCAAAGTTTAGATAACATTAGAAACAACTTTAAGTTTATCTAAGTATAATTGGAGTTCAGTAAGAAAACCTACCTGTCTCCGATTCTATCTGAATCCTATCGTTTGTCTTTTTCAATTCTGTTTCTACTTCCGGTGCGGATTGTGAGTATTTCGGTCTAACAGGCTTCACATCTGGTCTTCGGTATTCTTCGTATGAAGACGTAATTTCTAAAATTGAAACAAAGACTTGCAATATTTTTCGTTAAAACGCAAGTGTCATTTCAGTTTATTTTGAAATGGAGAGTGAATTAACAGAAATCCAAACCCTAGCGTTCATCTTGTACACTGTAAGCCATGTATATGATCTATATGTAGCAAAAGGGACTTGGGACAAAGAAATACGAACTTTTCTGAGGTATTCACATACTTGATCTTCGTATAAATTTCGATGAAAATCTGTTGCGAAATGAAATCAGTAGAGTCATGAATGTATGTATCGCCTTGTTATAGGACGGAACTTTTTTGGGGAAAAAATAAACAACAAACAAAATGCATTTTGATTTAGAACAATGTAAAATGGAAGCTCGAAATTAGAGAATATGGACGAGGTGGATGAAACACAATAGCAGATGAAGACCTACCAGTTTTAACGTCCGTTTGATGAGTAAAGTACGCCTTTCTCCATTCTGAGTCTGCTGGACGTGACGTTGGTTTTGCAGCATGTTCAACAGGTTTAGGGTCTGTCAACTGATAGCCGGCGGGTTTGCTTTGGAAACGGCTAATCCTATCCCTAACTGACCTCGTTTCAATTTCCATAGACTCTTCAGATCTTGTAGTTTCTATCAATTTAAATTTTGTGTAAATGTGAATAAACTTACTTTCGGTTGATTTAATATATCAAACGCCATCGATATTTGTACGCGTCATTTACGACATCATTTCATGATTTTGAAACGTAATAATGACAATGAAAACCTACCCCTCTTAACGTCCGTTGTAAGGATAAAGCACGGCGGTTTCATTCCTACGTCTGCTTGTTGTGACGATGTGTTTGCAGCTCGCATAACAGGTTTAGGATCTGTCCACTGATAGCCAGTTGGGTTGTAATGGTCACCATCGATCACTTCTTTTCTAGAGGGGACACTCATTTTCCTAACCGCCTCCTTATTGATGTCCATTGCCTCTTCAGCTTCTATCCATTAAAATTTTGAAGATGGAAAAATATTTTTTAGTTATTTTATAAATCAAACAACATATCGATATTCATTGGTTATATTTTCCACAAAGAATTGGGATTTTGCATAATAATAATAACCGTTGAAATCCTATCCATGTTGACGTCCGTTTGAGAGGGGATGAACACCTGTATTAGTTCTGTGTCTATAAAAGAATTTAATTATATGCTTTTAGTTATCAAACCGATGTTATCGATATCCAGGGTTCCTTTTACTTTAACAATGATCAATGATGACCTACCAAGCTTCCTGTCGGTTTGAGAGGTAAAGGAAGTCTTTCTTAATCCGGCGTCTCCGTGTGTAACATATGTTTGCCCTACCGGAACAACAGGCTTAGGGTCAGTCCATTGTAACCCGTAGGAGTTGATTTGGGCACGGCTTATCACATCTTCTCTGGTGGAGGGAGCCATGCTCCTAATGGATTCTCTATTCGCTTCCGTAACCTCTTCTGATTCTATAACTTCTATCAATTCAAATGTCGAAGAACAAAATTATTTATAACCTTGTGTTGAACAAATCTAAACTAAACACCACCGTAATTTGCATTTCACATTTTCGTCAAAATTACGTTAAGAATATTGCATTGAAAATAGTCTCGTAAATGATCAGGGGAATATATAAAATACCTTTTGTTTCTGTGGTTGCCCTGTCGTTAGGGATGTTCAGAATGGATAGAAGATCTGCTCTATGAAGACACCGAGGAACTACACCTGAATAAGGTGATGTTCTCAAGCGTTGTAGAGATTCTCTGTCGTACGATATCCTTACTGATGAGCCTGTACAAAGAAAATGCCGACTTATGCCAGAGTTCTCTCAATAAATGCTGTGTTACTGTTAACGTACACATTTTAGCGGTACTTTTATTACAGCGCTTTCAGTATTGCGTTAAATTATGATTGCACTAATCGACGTTTCTTTAAATAGTTTTCTATACTACATATTGTGAATGCTCCTATTCATCAATCCGCTAATCCGTAAAAAAATTAATCATGATACGCTAAAATTTGAGTCTGCAAAAAGAAGTACTTTATATTCACTATTTTATTTCAAAAGCATTCTGTTTGCAATTATCTTAATCGAACCACTTCCTCCATAGATTCTTGGTTAAAATGTGTTTCAATAAATATTAGAAATGGCTATGAATTTGTTTTCTCTTGTTTATGGGACAAAATGTCCTACCTGAATTGGTCCTCTCCGATGTATTCATCTTGCGGTCAGTGCACTTCTCGAAGCAAGGAACATGTAAGCGTCCTTGGAAACAACCTCCACATGTTCCAGAACAGGGATGACCGCAATCTAATTTAGTAGTGCACTTTTCAGTGCAAGAGAAGTCTTCAATTCTTTGGTAACATTTGCACTGTATGAAGTGTCCACAAATCAATTTGCGCTGAATGAGCTCTGGACATTGAATCTGGTGGGTGTTGTATTCTTTACACTTTCCACAAGTTCCGCTGCATATGTGACCACAAATCAGCTTTTTCTCGCATTTTGACCGACACTTGAAACTGTGGGGATCCTGATGACATGGGCCTAATTGCTCGTGCCTGCAAACTGGAATAGTCTTGATAATGTTCTTCATGCATTTCCCACACTCTTCCCAGCATTTCTTAGTGCAAACATGTCCTTTATCGCAAACCTGAGCACATGGCTTCAAACAACGGTATTTCTGATGAGCACTGTCAAAGATATGACAATATTGTTCACAAACATGACCACAAGGTAGACGTGTTTCACATGGTGTGGTACAGCCTCCATTTGGTGTCTCATTGAATTGCAGGTCCTTCAGATCAGGCAGTATCGGAAGTTCTCTGAAATTGTTAGGGGGAGGCAATGATTCCATGTCTCTATGATTCCGTCGGCCACCAGGTTGAATGTTTTTATCTCTTCTTTGGTTGTCAATGTCCTGTACAAGTGTTTTCATAATTGTAGATACATCATTAATCAATTCCAAAATATCTGGATTCTGTTGTAAATTGAATGTATGGTCCTCAGCAATAGCATCTAACATCAACACAGCACTACTAACAGTGTGGACCTCCTGTGGCATTCGTTGCATCAACTCTTTCATTATCTTGCAGACATCTTGAATTATGCACTGAAGATGGTAAGGGGGCATCACAGCAATCCTGGACTTGATTTTTGCAAGGAATGTGGTCACTTGAAGCATCATGACATTCTCTTGAACCATTAATCCCACTAATTGTAACTTGCTGTGGCTTTTAGAAGAGGAGCAAGCTTTTCCTAGTACAGATAGAAGCAATCTACTCCAGTCGATCTGCATGTTAATGTTCTTTAATAGAGTTTGAAATCCACTACTTTCCAACAGTAATTCCATTAGAACATCATCTGAATTGGTCTTTTCACTGAGCTCACTGAGTTTCCTGTAGCCAAACATTCTTGGTGGTCTGGAACGAGTATCATTTCTTCTTGGTCTCGAACTATCACGGTATCTAGCATTAGTAGCATCTTGTACATCCTCATTTCTGTTTGGTACCGTATCCAATCTACTGAGAGAAGAATATCTTCGGAGGTCAGCAGCTCCTCGAGTCAATCCACCAGATGCTCCTCGAGTCAATCCACCAGATGCTCCTCTAGACCCGCCTCTTCCACCCCTACTGCCTCGTCTTCGGCCATCTCCTCTATGTCCTCTCTCTGCATTACCGCCTCTGCTTTCACTTCTACTCTGAGAAGACTCAGGGTTTCTTTGGTGTCCTCCTCCTGGACCGCTGGATCTGCCTCCTTGTCTGCTATTCCTTCTTGTACCATTTGTATTTTCTGTTTCATCGTCATCAAGATTGAGAATTCTTAGTGGGCCTGTTCTGCTGAAATGTTAGACGTTCTATGTTCAGAGGTGTTGAGTGCTTGAGCAAGTCAACTCACACAGACATTGTTCTAAAGATAAGTGTAAATATTATTACATCTGATTTTCTGTCAGATCCTAGGATATGATTACTGTCACCCCTAGGGTATGATTTCTCTGTCAACCCTTAGGCATGGTTTCTCTCTCACCCCTAGGATATGACCTCTGTCACCCCTAAGTTATGATTTCTCTGTCATCCCTAGGATATGGTTTCTCTGTCACCCTTAGGGTATGGTTTCTTTCACCCCTAACGTATGATTTCACTTTCATCCCTGGTATATGATTTCTATCAACCCTAGGGTATTGTTTCTCTGTCACTCATTCAGGTATGATTTCTCACGCTCTCTAAAACGATTCCTCTGTCAACTCCTAGGAAATGATTTCTCTGTCACCCCTGGTATATGATTTCTAGCAACCCTAGGGTATTGTTTCTCTGTCATCCCTAGGGTATGATTTCACTGTCACTCACTGTGTAATGATTATCCCTGTCAGCCCCTAGGGTATTATTTTTCTGTCAGCCCCTAGTGTATGATTTCTCTGTCAGCCCTAGATATGCTTTCTGTCAACCCTAGGGTAAAGTTTCTCTATCATCCCTAATATATGATTTCTGTCACCCCTAGTGTAGGGTGTCTCTGTCACCCCTAGGTTATGATTTCTGTCAACCCTAGGGTATGGTTTCTCTGTCAGCCCTAGGATATGCTTTCTGTCAACCCTAGGGTAAAGTTTCTCTGTCATCCCTAATATATGATTTCTGTCACCCCTAGGGTAGGGTGTCTCTGTCACCCCTAGGTTATGATTTCTGTCAACCCTAGGGTATGGTTTCTCTGTCACCCCTAGGATATGCTTTCTGTCACCACAAGGTTATGATTTCTCTGTCACCCCCTTATATATGATTTCTGTCACCACAAGGTTATGATTTCTGTCACCCATAGGATATGATTTCTGTCACCCCTAGGGTATGATTTCTCTATCACCCCTAGGATATGATTTCTCTAACCCCTAGGTTATGATTTCTCTGTCACCCCTAGTATATGATTTATGTCACCCCTTCTCTGTCACCCCTAATATATATGATAACTATCAACCCTGTGGTATGGGTTCTCTGTCATCCCTTCAGGTATGATTTTCTCACCTCTGTCACCCCGAGGGTACTGTTTCTATGTCACCTTCTAGGGTATGATTTCTGCATCTGACGCTAGGGTATGATTTATCTGTTACCCATTAGGGTATTTTTTTCTGTGCTATTAGGGTATGATTTATCTGTTACCTATTAGGGTACGATTTTTCTGTGTTACTAGGGTATGATTTATCTGTCACTTACAAGGATACGATTTTTCTGTCACCCCTCGGGTACAGGGAATGATTTCGCTGTCACCCATAGGGTATGATTTATCTGTTACCCACTAGGGTTTAATTTTTCTGTGTTACAAGGATATGATTTCTGTCAACCCCTAGGATACGATTTTTCTGTCACCCCCTCGGGTACAGGGGATGATTTCGCTGTCACTCACTGTGGAATGATTTTCTCTGTCAGTACCTTAGTTATGATTTCTCAGTCACCCAATAGTATGGAATGATTTTCTCTGTCACTCACTGTATAATAATTATCTCTGTCAGCCCTTAGGGTATGATTTATGTGTCACACCCTAGGGTTTGATTTCTCTTGTTACCTTCTAGGGCATGATTTCTGTGTCACCCCACAGTGTATGACTTCTTTGTCACCCCCAAAGGTATGATTTCTCTATCACCCACCAGAATACGATTTCTCTGTTACCTGCTAGCCTCTTCCCCCCCC